TACCCAAATGACTAAGAAATTTCCTATGAAGGGCATTTTTTTTCTCTTTGGGTACCAAGTGTTGAAATGCCTCACTTTTAAAAAACTTTCATAACTCAAGACTTTTACAAATTACATTACATTCAAAAAAAAAAAAAAAAAAAACTTTAATACCTTTAATACCTTTAATTATAAATACCTTTAATACAAATATTTAAAATATATAATTATAAATTATAGGCTCACGCACATCAAATCACTTGATTAAGAATATTTTACTATTTTGTAAAATATAATCATGTTCTAAGGATAAAGATGAACATTATATGACCAACATAAAGGATAGTACATGATAACAAATACATGAAAAAAATTTAGTCTTTAGTTATCTTCAATGATTATCACGTTTTGTAAAGTAACAAAAAAAATGATATATGAGAACTTATGATGAGTTATAAAAATCATGATTATTGGTAATATTCCAAATCAATATTTAGGAGATGTTATCTCAATAGTTGCATACCTTATTAATCAAATGCCATCAAAGAGTTAAATTCTTAACTCATTAAGTTCTCTTTGAGATAAATCTTATGTATAGACTTCAATATATTATTCATCTCCAAAAAAATTTTTGTTCTATGTTGTTGTAACTCAATCTCATGAGTTTATATTTTTGATGATAACAAACATCTTTATATCTCCTAATATTTTTTATTTTATATTTATTTGTGTGTATACTAACATTTCAAGAATATCATGCACCATCCGACAAAGAATCAGAGCTCAAGATTGGGTAGAATAAAGTTATGCTATAAAGAGTCTGTAATATTCATTGATGTAATTTTAATTTCTTAAGTCAAGTTTAGTAAAGGTGTTTGCTAGCTTGTTGTTCATGCATATACACTTTCAAGGGAGTGAGATATGATCAAATCAAGATTTTTAAGTTTTGAACTAATCGTATTGGATCATTTAGATCATCCAGGACGATCAGATCATCGAACTAATCATACTGGATGATTTTGGTTTGTCCAAGATTATGATATTGAAAAATAGCCACTAATGATAATTTAGGCAATGATTTAAAATTCAAAATTTATTCTAATCATCCTGAAAGATCGATATCATTCCGGACGATTAATATCAATTATGCCTAAATTGATTATGTGATTATGAAACTAATTATGATTAAATTATTTAATCAAATCGTTCTGGATGATGTTTGTCGACATACTTGATTTTCCTAACTTATACAAGATGAAAAACCATAATTTTTCTTCTAATCGTCTAGTACGATCCTAATATTGTACTGGATGATCTCTACAAAATTTGAACTAATCGTCCTAGATTATCTGGAGATCGTCCAGGACTATCAAGACAAATTTTGCACATCATCCCAGATAATTTCAAGATCGTACTAGATGATCTTTGGCATCAGAATTAAATTTTTGGGATTTTCTGGAGCCCTTTATTTAAGCACATCATACTGGATGATCCTGCGACCGTCCTAGATGATCTTTGCCTCCAAGATTGGTTTTTAGGATTTTTCAAAGCCCTCTATTTAAGCTTTGTCAAGGTACTCAGTGAGTGTTTTTGACAGCCATTAAAGCTTCGTTCTTCTGGAAAAAATTTAAAGATAGAACTTGAAAGGTAGAGAGGTAATGGTGGAATTTTAGAGGGAGAAGATCCTTGGAGGGAATTTCAAGAGAGTGTAGAGGGGATTTCACTCGGTTGCTCTGAAGAGTTTGCACCTTAGTACCATTGGATTCAATGTTCATTTTGAGGAAAATTTTGGGAAGAAGAAGATCTCTTTGGTGTCAAAGGACCCGGTTACTTCGCCGCATTAGGGAAGGTGGAAGTGATTTTATAAGGGCTTCTCCGCCTAGCTGTGGGGGCTAAAGGATAGTCATTAAAAGTTTAGTGTAATACTCAGAGTGTGCCTTCGAGGAGTAGTGGACGTAGGTCATGTTGGATCGAATCACTATAAATATGGTGTATTCTTTTTGATTATTTATGCACTTTATTTTTACTACAATTAACTGCTTGGGTGAAATATCTGATAAATCTTTTTATTATTGATTTATTTTTTTTCAGCAAGATATAAAAAGATTTTTATTTTGTTTAAATAAATTTTTGTAATATCAAATTCACCCCCCTCTTGGTTAGCCTCGGGACTAATTCATAAGGGCTTAACACCCTTCATGAACTTTTACATGTTTGTTCATATCTATCTTTTGAATAATACAAATTTGATCAAAAAGCTATTAAATGCTTATTTATTGGTTATATTTTGAAATAATAATAGTACACATATTACTATTTAAGAAAATATATATCTACACTTGTCTAACATCTATTCCAACATGATTCAATCAAGACCTTTTACTCTGACATTCTTAGTAAAGTCTTGATTATAAGCTAAAGGAGGGATATACTCCATTGTGTTGAGAATATAATCAAGATATTTTGCAATCTTTAGTAAAGTCTTGAAATAATAATAGTACACATATTACTATTTCATCGAAGGTGGGGATGCACTACTAAAGATTGCAAAAAATTGAAAGATGGGAGTAAAATGTTAACTCAATAAGGATATCTCTGTTAATTTACTCTAAACCTACATGCCTAAAATAAAACTAAGCCTACTGGCCAGGGGCGGCAGAATCATCAATAACAAAGATAACAGTAAGGTAACCATCAAATGGTTAAAGAAATTGAAACTATTATTGAAGGATCCTAATGCCTTACCAAATTCTCCTTACTACCCCATAAGAATCGCCACTAAAGAAGGTGCGAGCTAATCATTCCATCACATTTAATGATTCTGATATAGAAGGGATTCATATTTTGCATCAAGATCCACTTGTTATTAATGCTAGCATTGAGGATCCTTGTTATAATGTTAAAATAATCCTTATTGATAATGGAAGTTCCATTAACATTTTGTTTTATTTTACATTCCTAAGCTAGTTTTAGTTAGAGAAATTCTCTAATCACTAGCAACACCATTATATAAATTCGATAATCGGCCAGTAAGGGTTAAATAAACATTCACTCTCCTTACTACTTTGGGTGACTTCCTTTATTAAGCAACTTATATGAATCAATTCATTATGGTTAAGTTAAAATCGATATACAATGCTATTTTTTGGAGACCACTATAGTTAATTTTTGGAGCTATCACTTCAAGGCAACATCTAAAATAAAAGTTTCAACTCCATTTGGGGTTGGCAAGGCCAGCAACAATTTGGCTATTAAAGATATTTTAATTGGTTCATGGATCTGAAAGAAGGTTCACATTGACATCCAATAAGTGGTCATGAATTATAATTATCTGAAAAATATAGCTTTACATTACAATATTTTGGAAAGATCAGACATATATTTTCGGACTTCAAAAGTTTTGATGTCCAAAAATTAGAGGCAAATGATACGTTACCAAAAATCAACTTGACCAAGTACTAATCTTAAAATATGACTAAACTTGATGCTTCCAAAATTAAATTTGGGATCATCCAAATTCTGATCATAGTAGACTTAGAGTCAAACTAAATGTCTCGAAAAGATAAATCCAATAAAATCAAAATTTGTGTAATCTGAGTCCAAATAGGCTCGAATCAGAGGACTGAAGCATACTTAAAAGCTTCAAAGTATTAATTGAGTAAACAAATGATCTCCAAATATGACATGCTTATAGTCGAATCAAGCTGCTCGATGAGACAAATCCAACGAGCTCAAGAACACATAATTTTGACATCTTTAAAACACTTAAATATTTGATTAAAGCTCTATGATTAAGGAAATTAATATGGACCGTTTGACGGAGCACTCCAAATTTATCAAATATTTTTTTCATATTTATGGAGCATGCATGCCACTCCCAAAAATATCTAAATATGCCTTTATTCTTCACATGAGGGGGAGGAAGGAAAAATGCTAGAGAGAACTAGTAAGAGATCTCTTGCATTTTCCAACCATTGTTGCCAATGACCACCATCAACTATACCACCGATAACCAGAGTCACAATTGACGATCGGCTTCAAAATACACCACTTTCTCTAGCTAAGAAGATTTAACCCGACTATTGCGTATATTTGTCCGTATGTGGACATCAAATTTCTAAAATTCCTTTTGAGAAAATTAAACCCTATAGTTGGGTATAGATTATCCATCTATGGATATTTAATTACTGTACTCGTCATCTTCTTCAATATTAGTGAAGAAAAGAGGATATTTGCATCACTTACTACATACTGAATTATGCAACTGGGCTATGCCTTGTGATTTGTTCCTTTTTGGGTTTTCTATGTCCAAACTTTTTGTGGTTCTGCTATTTTTATTTGTTCGTGCTAAATCTTTGTGCACTGTTTAGTCATGAAATGTGTACTCTACTGACTCAAATTTTCTTGCACTCAAACCTCGTAAATTCAAGACCACATATAATAAATGTAAAATCTCTTGTTCTCCATGATGATTTATGCTCATTTTTCTCATGGAAGGGCTTCACATTTGAAAGTGATGCGGGCCACGAATTTTATACAACTTGGTGTCTACACTAGCGCAACCCTTGTTCCTCCATTGTTATTGATGCTTACTTTTTCCATGGAATGATTAGACTTTTTAAAGTGATGGGGGCCATGGTTTTAAATTTTGGTGACTACAAATTAACTAAAAATTAACTTAAACTTAAATTAATATTTTTGGTTTTTTATGATTTTTGCTTTAAAATTCTAAAATTTTGATAAAGATTCAAATAAAACAAAAAAGTTATAGAAGAAGTTCATAAATTTTTAATGAAATTTATACTTTTAAGCAATAGTAAAAATTATACTAAAACTTTATCACTAAATTTCATTAAATTTGAAATGATTTAGATTGAAAAAAAAAAAGTATATATATATTATATTCCATAATATTAAAATCATAATAAAAATTGAATTATGAAATTAATACGATTAATTGAAACCGAATATTCTCCAATCAACCGAAAATTCTTCACTTCGATGTGGGCTGGGCCATGTGCCGAATTGGGCCCATCGCTTGACATGCAGCCAATGCAACACTCACACGTGTCAAAATCAAGCTAGCTGATTGTACGGACGAGTACATTTAAGAGAGACGAGCGCCATCCATGCTTGCCGAGCCTCGTACGAGGTGGGCTCCATCGTCCCCGTCTCCGCCCCGCCATTGGCCCTCTCTACTATTCTTTTTCACACCATCTCAATCCAGAGGGTGAAAAAACCAAAATTAAATTAAAGGTGGGAAAATGAGACCGGAGAAAGGTCATGGCGAATCAGAAGCTGAGGTTAGCTTCGTGGGTTTCCGTTTTCTACTAAAGCCTCCATTATTGGACGGTCCATGGGAGACGAATAAGGAAAGTTCAGCCACCATCCTGCAAAAAAATCCAATCTTTTTTAGTTCCTTCGCCGGGCTGCTGCGGCGGCGGAATAGGGTTCAGGCAAGGTGGCCTCGACGTCAGGGCCAGTCTCCGTGGTTGCCATTTCTGCAAGCTGAGCTCCTTTGCGTGTTTTTTTCCAACCGATCTGCATTTTTCTAGATTCTGATCCATATCGTCTGATCTTTCACCTACTTCTTCTGGGTTGGAAAGGGGAAAAGATACAGAGAAATTAAAATGGTGCGGGGAAAGACGGAGGTGAGGCGTATAGAGAACGCAACGAGTAGGCAGGTGACCTTCTCCAAACGAAGGAACGGCTTGCTCAAGAAAGCTTTTGAGCTTTCCGTGCTCTGCGACGCCGAGATCGGCCTTATCGTCTTCTCCTCAAGCGGCAAGCTCTACGAGTTCTCTAGTTCCAGGTTTTCTTTTACTCTCTATCTCTTTCCCTTGATATATATAGATATATCTATACGTATATATATATGGCTTCAAGTCTAGGTCTATTTATTTTAGGGTTTTTCTTCACACGCCAGCCAGCAAGTAGCGTATTGAGCCCCTTTTCCCTTTTTCTTATTTTGGAATGAAGGAGCTGGGTAAAACGGGGTTTCTTTTGTTTTCTTTCTTCTTTTTGGAATTTATGCCCATTTTGGCTACTTCTAGTGGGAAAAACTGGTACGTTTACCTTTGCTGCTCATCGTCCCATTTTGGTCGTAAATTTTGTTCTTTTCCTCTTCATGTCCTCCGATCGAGGTGAAGCTTTCTGCCTAACTGTACTCTAGAGATGTAGAGGGTAATTAGTGCGCTGCTTTAGCCGAAGAAACATCATTGAAACTCACAGGAGATTAATTTTGGGGACAACGAGGTGAAGAATGTACTAAATTAAATTTTAAATTTTGGATTGATACATAAAAAGATATCTGGGATTATAATTTGATCTAATAAGCTCGGTTAAGTCAGCGCTTGATCATATTCTGCTGTCGCATCTTAAGATTGCGTGTATTTCATGTGGAAACAAATTTCTGGCGTTATTTTCGTCAATCAAATTGTCACTTGGAGCTCCAGTTCAGTAGTATAAATCGACAAGTTATATTGAATGACAATTAGGTGATCTTCTCGGGCACCCCTCGGGTACTGATCCTTGTCTGAGGGGATTGTATTAAAATCAAGGATTTCTTACTCATTTTAAGCAATAAACACATTCTAGATCTTTGTTCTATTTCATTTTTTTTTGAAATATTTTTGCCCCAAAGTCGTCATAAAAAGATTAAGAGTAACGCTGAGTCATCCAAATACAATAACTCAGAGGGGAGGATTTGATCCAGTGGGTGCCAGCAACCCCTAGTGCCCCCGCTGTATCCGCCCATGATTGTACTTAGATTTTTTTTGCCAGTGCTAGTAGACTTCATTGTTATTTGCATTCAAAGTTATTCAATTCTCTTAATTATACACCGCGTTAAAGAAAGCCTAAGCTAGCACAAGAAAGAATGTTATTAAGTGTTGCTCACGCACCACAAAATTAATCAAAAGTTAAAACGTTAAATCATTTAGTAGTTACATTGTTTTTAATTTGATAATGATATTTTTGAAACATAATAATATAGAATGGCTAGATTACAGTGTGCTATGATTGCCAGCTACTGAAGGTACATACGACCATAAATGGAGCTAGTGACTAGTTTTAAGAGATTATCATAATGGTTTCCCAACGGTTACATTATCTCGGTTGTGGTATATATGATTGTTACAAGTTTGATAAATAGAAATAGCCACTTTATAAGGCCATGTTTGATCTTCATGCATTGTGCATAAAGCTTTGGCTTCATTTGGGATCGGATGGCTTTCTCTCTTCTTCTTAAAGCAGCTTTCTATAGAAAAATATTAATTTTGATAGTAAAAAGCTGCTTTAAGAAGCAGTAAGAAAGCCGTCCCAAACGAAACCTTCATCTGCAAGCCTTCTCCATTTTCTTAAACTAATTGCTAGTTCACATGTGATAATCAATCTTTAACTTACTGACATGATCCTCACTATCTCTATTTGATTATGATCTACTTCATATTCATTGCAATGTTTAATTACTATGTTAATTTTTACTGTATGAAGTGTGTTTGTAAGCAGTATCTACTTTTCTGATTGTCATCAATGGCTTACATGTACAACTTGTGTGTTATTTTCTGCTAACAATTCTATGAAATTTGCTAGCTTGATTTGATTTCTCATTATTTTGGATAGATTGTCTTAACGTTTTGCTCTTTTATGCATTTACCATATCAGTAAGCTATTAATTTCCTTTGGAAATTAATTGACTAATTGTTGCATAATTAAAATTGGAAAAAGTTATGTATCTTAGTTTTAACTTGGAGGCAAAAACAACTCTTGCTTCATGTACGCTTAGTAATTACTAATTAGCATTTGCTTACAAGAAAAAGTAATGAAAGAATGGATATAAGCTAATGAAGTCTTAGCAGCTAGGAAGTGGATATATCTATTAGATGAAGTCTTTAATTGTAGCTGACATTATTATTATTGTTATTCTTAGTAGTTATGTAGCAAAAATACTTGCAGAGACAGCTTTCTGAATAATTTATCCCATTTAGGTTAAACTTAATGTATTTAATACAATATATCTATATCTAAATATATTTAAACAACAGTTACACAGGGCAAGTTTCATCTTGCACGTTTGATATGACGTCCTTATTTAACTTGGATGTATGACGAGAGTCATTGATAAACCTTCTCACAATATATGATAGTGATCTGAACTTGGATAGGGTAGAGTAACTCTTCTTTAGATTTAGATGCATATGAGTTTAGTGGAAAACTTACACAGGACTTACGGTCACAACTTGTAGTGAAGTTTTAACCACATATGACGAATATCCATTAAAAATTATAACTAAAGGATAGTGTTTGACACTTCTAGTTGTTGATCAAAGTGATTTGGTTTTAAGGATTCAAGCTTTCAAATGTGAATCTTTGTTATGTTTAAAATGAAAGCGTGAATATCTGTAACTCTCCAATTTAGAAATTGTGTTGCTTAGGGTTGGTGGTGCAAGGCTTGTATGGGAAGTTAAACCTTAGTGATCCTAACTCTAGTTATGTTGGTGTCCAAAGTTTAAGGCTATTTGAAGAATTAAGATGGTTACTACCTGTATGTATGCTTTTAAAGACTAATACCATATTTCGTCCATAATTAAGGGGCCGGTGTCTAACACGTTTACTGGTGGATAGAAGATATTAGGTGTTACGAATCCATGCTTTTTGATGTGGGGTTTTGCTACCCAATGATATTTCCAATACAAAACATTGAATGAATAAGTAAGACATAACGTGGCTTTGGATTTAGTTTCATATTAGATATTTGAAAAATATATTGTATAAATATCAAGTGATTGTACCTCACTTATAAGCTTAAGCTTTTGGATTGAAAATGAGTTTGACCATTACTGCAGTTGGCTCAATTTCGATCACCATTTAATTCATAAGGTTCATCTGGGAGTGGCTCTTATGCTTTGTGACTCCTATGGGTATTGATGTGGATTTTATCACGGTTGAGCAAGGTTTGAGTGTTAGAGTCTCTGATAGTGCCTCCTTGTACTTGAGTGGGCTCTTGATACATACTTGATGATCGAGCTTTGATTTAAAGTGGAGAGATGATTGATGTGGAGTGCTTTTATGTACGTGTAAGGGGGAGGGGGATATTAATTCATGTGTGATTTTGGTTTTAATTAGTTTCTCATTAGATAGCTATATTGATGTAAAGATACTATATGGTTAATCCTCACCTATATGCTTAAACTTTTGGGTTGATAATGGGCTTGATCGTCGGTGTATCTGGCCCAACTTTGATTTTCCTTTGGTTTATTATCCCAAAATAGACAACTCTCAAATTTGAAACAATGCTTGAAATGACGCTATTTAGGTTTGAGGGTAATTGATTTGTATATCGATTTAATCCATACAAACCTTAACTTTATTATAGTATATACTATATAAAATTTAGTTTTTTTTTTGACAAATTAAATTTATCACAAATTATAGGTAAAGTTTAAACCATTACTATTATTATCCAAGATTAAGAGACCAATATCAACTACTTACCGTCTTGGATTTTTAAAATTGAATTAAGATGATTTAGGTGCTATTGATAAAAAGGCTTGTATTTAGACTTGATCCTTGCTAACCCTGGCCCTGGCTATGGTGGCTAGAACTCATAATTTTTGGTGGAGTTGGTGTGTCCCTTCGGATGGTAATAATATGATGAGAAATATATAAATGTCTAAGGGTTTTATGCAATCAAGTTTTCCTAAGATTACTAATCGTGAAATAATCATAAATCATATAAGAGGAATGTTGATCGTCTTATATATTATGGGGAATAAAAAGAGAGCGTGTATGAAAAAAAAAACTCTTTATCCATCAAAATAAGTAGAAGGTTGATTCAAAGTAACGATTTCTAACTTATTTGAAAATTTTTCCTTATTCCTAAACTACCCTCACTTACATATTGCAGAAAAGACAGGTATTTGTGGTGAAAAAATCCGCCATAAAACAAGCCAAATATATATCTTAAATTTCATTTTATGGCGGATTTGCAGCGGATTCACGTTTGACAGTAAAATTTGCATCACAAAAGTATTTGCGACGAAATCTGTTGCAAATATTTTGTGATAGATTTACGATAGATTTATGACAGATTCATATTGAGAAAAATGATGGTTTCATTTTTACAAAATGTCGCAAATTCCGACGGATTTGTGGCGGAAAGGCCATCGTAAATTGTGTCGGATATTCCACCGCAAATCCACTGCTATTCGTGACAGATGTTTCCATTACAAAATATGATACTCACTCGTCGTTTCTATGTTTGCGATGGAATGTCCGCCATAAACCTGTAGCAAAAAAAAATCTCCTACAATCATCACTCCACTTCAACCATCCAACTTGAATTATTATAATAATATCCCCATCTATTTGACTATCACTTTAAACAATAGACCCGAGATAACTAAAAATTGTGCACTTTTTGTAATAAATCGATCACCTAATGTCACATTCCCACCACTAGATCTAGTACCATTGTACCACTAAAATTACACTCTATATATTATGTTTTAGATTTACTCAAATGAAAGCCTATAGATTCTAAGGTTGATCCCCATAATTCCAGTTTTTAATCAACTCCCTCTCTAGTCTTATCAATAAGAAGAATATCAATAGCAAAAAGTATACACCAAGGTACATCCTCTTACAAATGTTGTAGTAAGAACATCTATGCAAATTTAATATCTGTGATGCACAGACACGGACATGGCGACACAGACATGACACGACACAGACACGGACATGTCAATTATTGAAAATATAGGACACCGACACGGGTTGGACACGGCATTACAGTTTTTATATTTAAAAATA